TTTTTTTTTTTTTTTTTTTTTTTTTTTAGATGTACTTTTTGACCGTTGGAAGCGTTATCCAGTGTCTGCAAGAGTCTGGGAGGCTACTAAGCCCGTTAGGTTTTTCTGGCACCAGGGATAGTGGTTTGTTTAAATTTCCCATTCTCAGCGATTATAGAAGTGCTATAGAACGTGTCCCACGTGTTAGAAATAGTCTGTAAAATGATCAGTTGGAGGATTGCAGGGTAGGACCAAAAAAAGTATAGACAAAACAGCTTGTTGATGTCGATTTTATCCTACTGAAGGACACAAAAGTGACTATTCTGGGTCAGACAGAAGGTCTCTGCATTCCACCGTTCTGTCTCTGACCGTGTCTAATAGCAAGTACTTAAAGCACAGCGAGCAGGGCCAAGATTCGGTGACACTTCCTCTGGTTTACTCCTTAAGCAATCTGGMGGCTTCAGTGTTTCCTGAGCCATAGATCATGCATATATATTTATATTTTTAAAGCACCTATAATAGATTTTTCTTTATTAAATTGGTCTAAATGGTTTTTTGAGCCTCTCAGTCTTTGGCATCCRCAACATCCTGTGACAATGAGYGTCCCAATTTAGGTAAGTTTTATGAGAGGAGAAAAAAAAATGCTCTTARATGTAGAGCTAATTTGAAACAAAATCACTTTGGAAGCAATCGGATGAAGGAGGTGGGGCCCTCAGTCTGCTGCCTGTATCCACGGCTGCAATCTCTCTCCACAGAAAATCGTAYGCAGGATTTTCCTCATAACTGAGAAATAAACAACCTCCTCCCTCCCAAGACGGAGGACYGAGGAAAACCTGTGCAAGTAGCTTGCATCTCTCTCTTTCTGAAGGTTCAAAACACCTTTCCGCTTGTTGTTTCTAGATTTCCCCCAAAATGTGTAGGAACTGCTGGCCACATGCTGCATTTTTAGGAAGAGTCTCGCCGCGCTGTGGCCCAGCGCTTAGGTGTGAAGGGTGCGAAGGCCAAAGCCCGCCCTGATGCACCTCGGGGAGCGGGGAGGAGAGCAGGGAAGGTGGAGGGGTAGCTTTGGACGCAGGATCCCTCTCCTGGAGGGCCTGAGGGGGACGAGGCCTTCCCGGGGCAGCCAAGGGGCCCGTTGGGTGCCCCTGGCAGAGGGGGCTGCTCTGGAGGCTCAGGCCGAGCTTTGCCAGAAGAGGGCACCCAGTGCACGGCGAGCGCTTGCCCGCGCCGCCCAGCCGGGCCCGAGGCTCCTCCACCGGACGGGAACGTGTGGAGATGTCCCCTTCCTCTTCCAAAAGCTATTTCCATTTTCTGCGGCATGTCTTTTACATTATCCCTTGGCATAAATGTCAGACTCCAAATGTCGGACTCCTGCCTTACAGCAGCTGCGCCTAAAGCTTTAGGGAGAGTGGGAAAGGAGGGTTCAGTGTCCTGCATCTAGCAAGTGTTTGGTTCTGGTGTCTCCTGGCGGCTTTGGGAGAAGGCCGTCCTGGATAAGAGAAGCTTTTTGAAGCTGGGGAAAGAACTTGGCACTGCCTGAATGGAGCACAGGGAGCATCCAGAGAAGTCTGTGTGCTGCCGATGGAGGCAGGGCCCGCTGGCCTTCCATGGTACCTGCTCAAAAAGGTGCTGCTGCTGAGGGACTCGATCCAYTTCTGATGAGGCAAGGAGGAGGTGGCTTTTGCAGTGCAGCAGTCTGTTCTGCTGCAGAGAAGCTCTCTACCTTGGGGTGGGTAGGCAAAGGGGGAGGTGAAGGGAGGCATCTCTGAGYAGGAGAGCTGGTGACGGAGTTGTCTTTTGGCTGGGAAGCTGCGTGACCAGCTGCCTTTAGCAGAACCTAGAAGGATGTTAAGAAAGGTCAGATGTTTACAGTCAGGTGCTCTAATAAGGAAAATGAAGGCAATGACAAACGTACATTGGCATTTTTTAAGGGCTAATCCTGTCTGATCAATTTAATTTTCTCCTTTGACAGGACAGCAGGCCTGATGGATGGAGAATGCTCCTCACTCTGGGCTTAGTCTCTCATGACCTTCACATAAACTAGGAAAATGAGGCCAATGTGAAGTTATGAGGGGGCTGAGCACCTGACTGGAAGGCTCTGGCTGCAGTATTTGTTTTCCTTTTTCTGAGTTTGTGTTATCTGGGATCTTGACATAGTCTGCCCTGGCTGCTCTTTTGTGTTTTTTACCAGTGA